AGTAAATGATCAGGGCAGTTTGTGAGCACTGAAGTTCTGCAGGGAAGATAACACTCCTGGGAGCTGAGGGCTGAATTTGGATCTTAGCACTGGGTTTTGTGTGGGTTAATAATATGGCTTCATATCTTCTGATACAAAAATAACTTGTAGCTAAACTCTTGGTAGGTCCTGTGTTAAATACTTGTTGATTGCTTTTTTGTAGGTTTTTTTTTTATTAAAGGTGCAATGCTCTTAAAAGATGTGCTAAATTTAAAATGCTCTTAGATTTTTGTCTCTAACATTTTCCAAAAATTCAGAGAGGATTGCACGAAATATTCAAGAAAGGAATAGAAGGGTAGTCAGGTAGCAGTAGGATGTCATAATGTTACCAAATAAATAAAATAGTTCTACTTGCAATAGAGTGTCTTTTAAAAATAATTTATTTGACAGCACAGTCCTCTATAGAATTGATTTAAGGTGGCATCTAAATTTATAAGCCTCCTAGCCACAGTTTTATTTGTGCACCCTCACCTTACCTGCTTTTACTCTTTTAGATACTAAACCTTACTCAGGCATTAAAGGATGAAAAAAGTCCCATTCAGCTTGTTCAGATGCCACGTGTGATTGTGGAGCGAAGTAGCACTGGAAGTCAGGGCCGGATTGTTCAGCTGAGTAATGTGTTCACACAGACCTTTCATAGCAGGAAGCCTTTCTTCTCCTCCTGGTAGCAACAAAAATATGTGGGAAGAGTAAGTTTCTCTTAACTTTAGAAAGCTACTTCTGTGTAAAGGCTCTGCAATAACGTACTTCTGCTGTATACCAAGAGCTCTGATTGCCGACACCTCAGAACTTAAATGCTAAAGACTTAAGAAATGTATTCTGAATGTAATAAAAGTTTACAATTTTTGTGTCAAAATTGTGAATTCTTATGTCAGGGAATGAGAAGAACTTGTCCATATTGTATTTTTATAGGCCAAATTAATGTATTCTGAATAAGGGAAGATACACAGTTTGTATATGCTGAGAAACTACTTTTGAATACAACAGGAATTCTTTTTGTTTAATATAGATGTGAGAATCTATACTCTATCAATTTCTTTTTATATGGTCTTTAAAAAATGAAGTGCAGAATGTTATCTTTGATTGTGAAAATGCTTTTCCTTGGAATTTCTTCCTGGTATTTTAAGCTGTTTATAGATTTTTTTTTTTCCATAGGCTAGTTACTTGAAAAGTCATGCACTAAAAAAAAAAAAAATTAAAAAAATCAATCTGTCCTTGACAAACAAGTGAAAGGGAGAAGGGGAAAAAAATGCTCCAAATAGGCTTTTTTGCACGTGGGGACCAAAAATAGTTCAAATAGTTGAATTACAGCAAAACTCAACCTGAGTAAGTACACACAGTTCCTACTGTGACAAAATAAACTGAGTGTACATTTCAGAGGTTGAAATTTCGCCTGTAGCTTTTAGAACTTGTGTATTTAAGCACATGTATGGAAAATGGCGATATTTCTTTATAGATCCATCACAGCGAAAGAATTGCACCATGTTGTTACAGGTTTGTTTTGCCATATGCGTATAAATGTGTTCATCAGCAGTCACCAAAGTGGTTCTGCACTATTAACGACAGCAGCACTGATGTGTTCATCACAAAGCCAGCCTGCCTTCTAGATTTCTGTCTAAACACGCTGTTATTTTTTTGACTGGGGGGGGGGGAAGACCGTAATACATAGAGCACCGAGACTTACTACTGTACCCCTAGCAATGTCATGCTCACCTGCCAGTTGCCATTTGCATTTATGTTTAAGTTACGTGGTTTAAGACCTGATGGTCATGTTCCTAGATCTGTGGCTTATCTAACATGGTAAATATTTTTATTTTAGTAATTTTCTGGACAGTTAAGACTGGGAGAAAAATTGCTGCTTTTATGAAACCTTCAGTATTTCAGACATTGCTGTATTTTGTAATTCTAAGCAATACTGTTGAACTCAAAATAATAAAATGCTTGTATTTTATATAATTTTGAGTGGATGTAAATATTAATGTAGCATGTCAGCAATTCACATGATTAACTGAAACGTTTAAGCCTTAAATGTAAAACTCACTGTACGGTGGAGTTAAAAATGAGATTGAACTAACCACCTTTATAAAATTCTCATGGTTGTTTTTATCCAAACAGTTTATTAAAAAATTAAGGAGGGTGTTTATGTACCAGACATGCCACTGAAGAAAATAAATGTCGTAGTCTAAAATGCACGGGGTTTAGGCCCAGGTGTCTTATTTGTTCCGCAGCCTGTAGACCCCAATTCCGCTTTGTTCCACCCCTATTACTGTCCGCTACCCGCCCCGCCTCCCCTGGCGCTGGGG